ATAATGTTATACACACACACTCACTGATTTGACACACTCTGACAGACACACACAATTACTCAGACACAAACTTACTGACAGACACACTGACAGTCACACACACACACACACTCATTGACCGATGCATACACTCACTGACAGACAACCACATTGACACACATACTCACTGATTTGACACACTCTGACAGACAAACACAATTACACAGACACACACTTACTGACAGACACACTGACAGTCACACGCACTCATTGACCGATGCATACACTCACTGACAGACACACACACAGTCACTGACACACATACTCACTGATTTGACACTCCGACAGACACACTTAGTCACTGACAGACACACACTGACAGATATCCACACACTCACACAGACACACACATACACTCACTGACAGACACACAAATTCACTGACACACACTGACAAATACACACATTCACTGACAGACATACACACTAAAAGACACCCACTGACAGACATACACACACACACACACACATTCATTCATTGACAGACATACACAGACTCACTTACATTTTACCCCAACTCTCACAGATTGTTATTTTTTTTATTACTATTTTAATTTAAATCCAACCAGCCTCCCTGGGAAAGATGGAGTGGGTTCATTGGACTAGCTGTAGGGGCTGCTGGGCTTGTGTGCAGGAAGGCAGGTTGGTAAAGTAGGCAGCGATCTGTGATCTTCCTGCTAAGCTCCCTCACGCACCGGTTAGTGATGCTGGGAGCCAGAGTGATGTTGTAGTCCTGCCCCAGCAACACTTAGCGGTGTGCGAGGAAGCTGAGCAGGAAGAGCTCACAGATCAGCGCTCTCTCGCTGATCACCTGTAATATAACTGGCCGTCTACCTTGGGGAGGGACCCAAATGTGAGCAGCCAGCAGATCTGGGCCCCAGGACTAGCAAGCATTTTTTGCAGCCCCCTGGAAAGTGCCGCACATGGCAAATGCCTTGTTAACCTCACAGTAAATACATCGCTGCACACCAGGGGTAAATTTCTCCTTGCCAAACCTGCATTGTCACTAGCCAGTTGGCGAGTGGAAATGTTGAGCCTTAATGTTAAGTAAATAATACACAGAACTATTGGAATAAAAAAGGAAACACAGCAAGAAAGAAGGAGGGGGTATAAACTGTAGATTTATAAAATAAAATTACTGATTCACTAATTTGTAAAGCAGACAAACAAAAAGATTGACATGGTTATTCACTAAAGTAAGAATTGATGGAAATTCAAAGTAAATTTCAAAACTTAGAGCAAGAGAAATGAAAAGGGGTGGGAACTGGTGGAGTTTGAATGAAATAGAGTGATGGCGAGGTGAAAGACAACCTCACAAGTGGAAGGAAACAATCAGGAACGGCTGCCAAGAGTGGTCGGGGGTAATTATCCAGCGACACATTAATATGCAGTTGTTGTGGGCTTAAACTTTTCTGTGGTTACACAGGTAAGGTGTTTTGGGATGTCTTTTAACAGAGTTCTACATGGCTAAGGCAGCGGACAATCAGAGTCTTTGCCAGTTCAACACAGTGTGGGTTTGTGATTGGGCTGGTTGCCCGTGATCTCAGGACTTTTCACGCTTGTTGAGGGCCACTGGTATATTTCAAGAAAGATATTTAGTGCTGTAGAGTGCCATATGCACTGGCAAGTGCTTCGTATACTGTATAGGTCGTGCTGATGAAGTTTGAAGTGATATATGATGTTGAATTTTATGAAATCCGCAGCCTCCATTGGTCAACCACATAAATCACGAGCCCCTTGCAGAGATCTGTATGGATATTGACTATGTCGCCACTATGAAAGGTGATCCATGATTTACTAGGACTTTATGTTAGGATGTGTTAAAGTGTCAGTGTATGTAGCATATCCACTACAGCTATGTCTAGAGGTTTAAGTACCCAGTGGCTGTGGACACCATTTTTTTAATTTAATTTTTTTTAAATAAAAAATTTTGGGGTAAAAAAAATTTATTTTTATTTTTTTGGCATAGACCATCGCTTCTCCATCAGATTTGGAATTTTCACTTCCCCATTAGCACTACTGATACTATTATTCTTGAATAGCAGTGATAAGCTTAGTGCATTGGAATAATCCATCCAGCCCCAAGAAGACTATTTCCCAAAATCATGGAAAAACAGATTTACCTCTTGAGATAAAGAGTCATGACTGCTAACCGAGCCAAGCACATTTTTCTGGTTTAAAACTGTGTCCCAAACTGATTGTAAATGTTTTGTATCTGTTATTTTGTAACTAAATTATTGTCACTGCATATAGCTTTACAATCTGTCACTGGTTGTCATTGTGGCAACTAATTTCATTTGCAACTCACAATTACAGACAATTTAGAAGCAATGAATTGTTATATTGAATCAGATTTAGTCCGGTAACTTTTTGCGTAACAATTAGGTCATAAATATCACTATTTCATTGATATCTGATTGTTCTAGAGCCAAAATATTTCATATCTTACCTGGAAAAGTGCACCAACTACTGCCAGACCATCTGATTGGGTTTTGGCTGTTGTGAGATCTTGATATTTTGTGTTATAAAATACATAGTGAATCTGAAAAACAATTACATATAAAATTAGCCTGCTCCTCGAACACTACCAGGATATGAGTCTAACATTTCCCCATCTGACCACCAAGGACTATAACTAATAATAAGAGGGAGAAGGGGTGATGGTGTTGGGGGGGTAATGTGAGAGGGAGGAGGGTGATGGTGAGAGGGAGGAGGGTGATGTGAGAGGGAGGAGTGATGTGAGAGGGAGGGGGTGATGTGTGAGGGAGGGGGGAAATGGGGAGAGGGTGGGGAATAAATACCTTTTTTTTTTATTCCCTGGTGGTCCAGTGTGGGCTACCTGGTTGTCCGGTGGCCATGATATCCGGTCTGCAGCTCCGCAGAGCTCCAGACCATGCATCTCGCGAGACCCGTCAGAGCGTTGCCGTGGTAATCTGTGGCAACGCTTTGATTTGCAATTTCTGGCGAGACACATGGTCTGTAGCTCTGCACACTGGGGAGCTGCAGACCGGTGTCTGCGATTGTTGGTCGGGCTGACAGGAGGGGCCTCGCACCCAGCGGCATACTGAGCAAGCCGCCATGCCCCCTCCTGGTGTCAGGTTCTTTGTCACTGACCAAAGACCTGACACAGTCTGCCCTAAGGCGGTTTAGGTGACCGCGACCCCCAGCCATCGCGAAGCCTTAGGCGGCAGCCTAAACCACCTAATTAAAGAGCCACCTCTGGTAAGGAAGAGTATATGAGCTGTTAATCTGAAGTATATAAGTCACAAAATGAAAATATAATACATACATATTTACACACTGACACACACTTACACACAGAGGACACTGACCACACACTCACTGACAGACACATTTTCACTGATATCACCCACTGACATACACACTTACTGACACACACAATGACTGACAGATACACACACTGACAAACACACTCACTGATTTGACACACATTGACAGACACACACACATTAACTGGCAGACATCCACTCACTGACAGACACATACACATTCTCTCATACACACAAATTATTGTATTACTGTATTTAGGCAGAGTAGACACCTGCCATCCATCCTTGCGTTAGTGCACAGCTGCCCGCCTCCTTCGGCCCTATAGTGGCCAGATAGACAGCTCATGCCATACGCCCTGCTTTTGGTATGTGTACCCCCTAGGGTATGCATACTATAGGTTGAGAAACAAGGGTACAAACCACTATTTATTAATTAAAAATTGTGACACTATTATTGCCAGTACATTTACCATCATTCCAAGTGTGTTGTTATGAAATGCAAAGACTGTCTACACCGAGCATGTCAAACTCAAGGCTCACACTGGCCAAATAAACAAGGTTTAAGTTTATGTGGCTGCAAAAAAAAAAAGTTTGACCTCCTAGACCAACACAAACTAAAACTACTTGTATCATTATCATGCAAACAATATGTAATCCTGGGTACACATCTCTAATTTTTTTAAAGGCTTCACGTGAGGAGAACACAGGAAGGGGGGGAGTAAGAAGAACTGGGGGAGTAAGAAGAAGAGGGGAGGGGGAGTAAGAAGAAGGGGGGATGGGAGTAAGAAGAAAACAGGGAGGGAGTAAGAAGAACACGGGGGTGAGAAGAAGGGGAGATGAGGGGAAGATGAGAAGAAAGCACAGGAGGGGGGAGGTGGGAAGAACACAGGGGGGAGTAAGAAGAAGTAAGGAAGAGTATATGAGCTGTTAATCTGAAGTATATAAGTCACAAAATGAAAATATAATACATACATATTTACACACTGACACACACTTACACACAGAGGACACTGACCACACACTCACTGACAGACACATTTTCACTGATATCACCCACTGACATACACACTTACTGACACACACAATGACTGACAGATAGAAGAAGAACACGGGGGGTGAGAAGAAGGGGAGATGAGGAGAACACAGGAGGGGAGATGAGAAGAGCACAGGAGGGGGGGAGGTGGGAAGAACACAGGGGGAGTAAGAACTGGGAATAAGAAGAAGAGGGGGAGAAGAAGAAGAGGGGAGGGGAGGAAGGAGGAAAAGAACACGGGGAGAGGGGGGTGAGGAGAGCACAGGAGGGGGGGAGGAGGAGAACACAGGGAGGGAGGGGAGGGGAGAACACAGGAGGGGGGGAGATGAGGAGAACACAGGAGGGGGAGATGAGGAGAACACAGGGAGGGGGAGATGAGGAAGACACAGGGAGGCGGGAGGTGAGAAGAACACGGAAGAGGGGATGAGGAGAAGGGGAGGTGAGGAGAACACAGGGAGGGGGAGGTGAGGAGCACACAGGGAGGGTGGTTGGGGGGTGAGAAGAACACAGGGAGGGTGGGTGGGTGTGAGAAGAGACCGCTAGGGGAGAGGAGAGACCACTAAGGGGCAGGGGATAGCTCTAAGGGACAGAAGGGAGAGTTCTATAGGACAGGGAGCTCTTTCACACTACGCACACACACACAATGCATCCCTATACATACACAGAAAACACAATGCATCCCTACACACACAGAAACACAACATGCTTCCCTTACACACAGAGTAACACACAATGCATCCATGCCTTGCACACAACCAGAAACACACAATACATCCCTTATATACAAACACACACTGCTTCCACTACACACAAACACTGCATCACCTACACAAACTGGTATCCCTAAACACTACATTCCATTAGCACACACATTAGATCCTCTACAATAATACATAACACATCCACTCCCTGTGTGCGAACATATAGATGGATTTATGGGTGGGCCTTATGGGCATACTCACCATCAGGCCCTGGGGCCCAGACCTTGAGCTGTGCAAGGGGCCCCAAAAAATTGAGCTGCTTCCCGTTCTCCCAGAACATTGAATTTTGTGATCACAATTACAAACAGCCTCCAGAGATCCTGTTCTACACCAGACCAGTGGAGCCAAACTGCAGCCAGAGCCCATCACCATCCTCATCTGGTTGTAAGTAGGCAATCTAGTATATTATTAGTGACACTAATCTCTAATTTACCTCACATTAACTCACACTATAGTGCCCAAAACTACTGCAGCTTAATGAAGTGGTTCCGGTGTATATAGCCTGTCCCTGATGGCTTTTTAATGTAAACACACACTGTGTGCAGCACTGGCGTTAGTTCATATGGCAGATCATATGGGTGGAGCATTGTGATGTCACATGGGGGTGGGGGCGGCAAATCTTTCTTTTGCCTAGGGCGGCAAAAATCCTTGCACTGGCCCTGCTCGTCCCTTCCCCTCACTCTAGTACACTGCCCCCTCCAACCATTCTAATACACTGCCCCTTTCTCCTTCCCCCCAATTTAATATACTGCCCCCCAACTCAAGTACACTGCCCAACCTCCCTCCCTCGAATTTAATACACTGCCCTACTTCCCTTCCCCCAATTTTAAACACTGCCCCCCCTCACTCTAATACACTGCCCCTACTTCCCCCCAATTTAATACACTACCCCCAACACTCTAATACACTGCCCTCCTTCTGCCAATTTAATACACTACAGGAATGTTCCCCTTAAGCCCCTCTTCCCCTACCTTAAGCAGTCTTCCAGTCCAGCCCTGCACGATTTTCTTTGCTCAAACAGGCCATATGCTCCTCTGGCACTGTGAGCAGCAGGGAAGGGAGAGTGGCTGGCCTGCTCTGCACGCAGCCATCCACTCTGTGCACTGTAACGCCGCTGCACAGCTGCCAAATATGACTCAAGCACGCAAAGGGCCGTGGCCCATGGAAAAGCCACAGCACAAAGCAGACCCAGGGCAGGCGGCCCGACAAGTCCAGCCCTGGGCTGCAAAGGTTTCCACGGTCCGCATGTTTGACATGCTTGGTCTACACTGTTCATCATCTCATTTAGATGAGAGGTTCTCATACTCTATTAACTGACCTCCAGTGGGTATCCTTGGTTGTTGATGTAATGCTCAGAACCAATGTTATTCTGTGTGCTGCCAAAATGGATGTGAAACCCTGCCAGCTTGTGTGGATCAGCGAGACTTGCGCCAGTGAGAATATAATCAGAGCTCAGAGTAACTTCAACTAGAGAATTAAAGCAAATAAATAAATGACCATTAAAACGACATGGTGTACTATTTTTGCATTCTTGGTTGATAAATGAAATTACTGGTGGATGAGGTGTTATTAAAATTAAACCCACCTGTGTGTCCATTATTAGATACAACAGCCTCAGAAGATCCAAAAACTCCAGTGATTTGGATGGGACGTAAGTTAGCATCAGTGACAACATTGTTTGTGACAATGTTGATAGGTGATTGCCAATTTAGGTTGCAGGAGTCATAGTGTAGACTCCAGGTGGATGGTTCTGAGGAATACAAAACACATAACATTTTAAAATTACACCTTACAGTCACAGAGCATATTACTTTTTTCCAGGGTTCAAAGTTCTGAAAAGTTGCCTACAGGCCCAAATGTTACCTGCTACCTCAACTTTATTCAAGTTATTATTGTTATTGTGTGGAAGGTCAATGTATGAATGAAGGGGTGTGTTTCCATCCCAAACCCACTCTACATGACCCAAGCCCACCAGCTCAAAGTCAACGCCCTCTGCCATTTCCACTAGCAATAGCCCATTCTCTCTCCCCATCCCCATCTAAGGCAACAACCTACCAAAGGCACAGTGGCTAATTACAAACTAAGTAAAGGTTGGGATTAGATTAAGCAAAATCAGGAAAGACAGGTCTGATAAACAACGGTCAGGACTAAGAAAAATAGACAGTCAGGGACAAAGTCAGGTCTGTTACACACAAATACAGAACTGGTTAATCTCAAAATCAGGGATGTAGGCTGGCCTGACACAAAAGTGGCATAGAATACCACAATTAAGGGCTGTGAGACCATGAATGGGCACTGATACTAAAGATAAAACGTTTTTTAAAAGGACTTGGATCCCTACATCACACTTGCATCATTTGTGCACAGCTGGAGTGCATCTAATAGGATGACAACTTGTATAATTTTAGGATAGATTGAGGCCAGAATAATGTGAACACATCCTGATGAAAATTGTGCGTCTAGAGAACCAATAGGCACTCTGCTGAATTCCTTGTGGTAGTTTACAAGTACTGGCGAGAGAACAGAAGTAGCATTAGAAAAATATTTGCAGGTCAAAGGCTTTAGCAGAGAAACATGGAAGGTAATATGGATGCAAAGATTCCAAGGCAAATCCAAAGTGTAATCCATTGGGTTTACCTGACATATGATACAAAAAGGCCAAATGTATCAGGGAGACAACAGCTATTATCATTTTCTGAGTGGCTAGTGAGACTCTCCATCTTACTTGGAAGGACGATGCAGTTTCTGTGGATCTGATTCTGTAGTCAACCTTTTGGAGGATCTGATTCTGTGGTCAACCTTTTGGAACAAACCTGAGTGACTCCTCCTATATGGATGAGGATGGGAAGAAGTCTAGGAACAATGCCCATCCTACGGAAAGTCTTAGGTGCAGGCATTTCTTGGCTTCATAAGACAAGTGGCACGACTATTGCCCTTCCTGCAATAGGCGTAGAGACCCTTCTATCTCCTATACTGCTTCTGTGCTTACGATTGTCATCCCCCACTACATGGGCTCATCCTCAAGGCTATTACTGGAGTTCTCCAAAGAGGAAGAAGTTTGTTCATGATAAAAAAATTTGGGGGCTAACCAAACTAATTCCAGTAAATAAACCTTCTAACCCTTCCCTTATCTTTAATAACTTTGTGGGCTCCTTGATGCATGATGAGCGAAGGCTAGCCTGTCTAGTCTAATAACACAGAAGACACATGGTACCTCAAATTGCTGAAATACTTAATGCTGGGTATGCTAGAAATGTGTCAGAACACACAGTGCATCGCAGTTTGCTGCATATGGGGCTGAACAGCGGCAGATCGGTCATTCTCTCCCCCCATCGAGTTCCTCCATGTGTGTCTTTCCCTCCCCTCCATGTGTCTCATTCCTCTCACCCAAACCCCTCCATGTGCATTACCTCCCCCCCAAAGTCTCTAGGTAACCTTACTATTACCCAACACTAAAACTAGCTAACCCTTACACCAAATGCACCAACCCTAACTTTAAAGGAACTGTAACGGATCACCTGGCACCCCGACTGGGTACCTCCGTTGAAGGATGCTCCTAGCGCTTCCTGAGGACTCCAAGCACTGCAGCAGACACCACAACCACCGAACTGGAGAAGCATACGAATGCTCTCAAGCATATGAATGCTGTAAGCAGCTGAACAGGAAAAGCATACAATCAGCTTACACTCCTGCAATCAGCATACAATCCAATTCCCCCAATAACGAGATGACACTTCGTTTTGAGGTCAAGCAGAACTGACTGTACTGGCACATACAGCCTCTTTTATTCACAATCCACAAACATAGTACTGCCCACAGGGTTTTGAAATACAACCAATCAATCCATACAATACACACAGACACTCCCACACAAAATCCTCCCCTCTGCCTGTGATATGATTACTGAACACAATGGTTAATATAATTATCACAGGCAGAGAAATACAGTATTATAAAACTTATCACAGGGAGCCCAAAACATGCAATAACCCCATAAAAGGTATATCATCAGCACGGGGGAACCTGGGTGAACCACATATCCAAAATTCACCCAGATCCGTTCAGTAGTTTGGAAGATACAGTTTAATGCAGATTCCGCAGAACATAAACAGGCTATATGAAAAATAATTACTTTATAATGTGTCCCATGTTGTATAGTTTAAAACTACTGCACGATGTCTTTGTGCACCAAATACCGGCGAGATGGCACCATGTAGAAAAGTCCAAACAGTGGCTGTGAGTTAAAATGGCCGCCATCCATTGTTCTCACCATGTGCTTCATCCATTGTTCTCACAATGTGTCTCTGATACATGAAATGGTGGCCACCCAGTAACTCCACAGTTAGTCTATCCAGCCGGACCAACAGATGAAACACATGGGGAACAGTGCAACAAACAAAAGGAATCATAAAAAATATGGACAATAGTCATATTTGTGCACAATCTCCAGTTTTGTCACAGGGCACAAATAGTTTTTTCAAATGCCATATATCCCAGGGCCATAGTCAGAAGGTAGGAGGCGGTCAAGCAGCCCCCTCCAAGAACACGTGGCGAGGTCTGTTCCGCCACAGGAACACTATGGTGTCAGGAATACAAACATATATTCTTGACAGTATAGTCCTGGTATATCTGTTTAGGTCCCCCGGGCCCCACTCAGATTGCACTGAAATGTGAGTTTTTACTCACCTTTTCTCCCATGCCATGCCTGTCTCACTGCGGCTAGCCCTGCCTCCATGGCTGAGATCATCCAATGTCTTCATGCAGCGTGTAGAGATCCTGAATGTAGGTGCAGCACTGACACAGGAAGCACCTCTAGTGGCTGTCTGAGCGACTACTACTAGAGGTGTTCCTAGGCAGCAATGTAAACACTGCCTTTTCTCTAAATATATTAACCCCTTAAAACCGGAGGACGTACAATTACGCCCTCTAATAGGCGGCTCTAAACGCCGCCGGGCGTAATTGTACGCCCTCCGGTTTTTGTTAACTTACCCGGTCGCCGGCGGTCCCACGCCGGCGATCGCGGTTGGGGGGACTCCCAGGGAGCCCCCCGCGGCACCTCCGTCCTCCTTGAAGCCCCCCGGCCATGTGAGAGTGGGGTCCTAACGAGGACCCCACAATCACATGGCCGGGGATAGCTGGCTTCTGTATTGCCGGCAGGGGGGCTGCCTGTAATTACAGGTGGTCCCCCTGCTGGCTGAAAATAAAAATAAAATAAGTTAATGGTGTAAAAAAAAAAAATTATATATACTTAGATCATATGTATATATTATATATATATGATCAAAGTATATATATACACATATACATACACACATGTACACCGTCTAGGTGTATTTTACTATTAATATATATATAATTATATATATATATAAATATCAAATTACACGTAGACTGATACTGATTAAATATATATATAATTATTGTTATATATATATTTATATATAATATAAAAAAAAATGTAAATACGTTAAAAAATAAAATTAAAAAAATAATTAAAAATAAATAATTAAAAAATATATAGATGTGTGTTATTTCATTCTAACTGTATTGTGAAATTAATATATATATATATATCAAAATACACATAGAACGAAATAATATATATATCTATACACATAAATATATACGTATATATCACTATATATATACCTATATATAAATAAAAATATTTAAAAAAATTATATAGATATATACATATATATATACACATACGTATATATATATACATATATTAATTCTACATATATATTTATGTAATATTTTTACATAATTAGGTATCTTAATTAATTACAATTAGCGGGACCTGCCTGACAACCCATGCCGAAAGTCAAGGGAATTTAATTTGTTAGCACTATATTTAACCCTATAACTTTCCAAGACACCATAAAACCTGTACATGGGGGGTACTGTTCTACTCGGGAGACTTCGCTGAACACAAATATTAGTGTTTCAAAACATTAAAATGTATTACAACGATGATATCGCCAGTAAAAGTGACGTTTTTTGCATTTTTCACGCACAAACAGCATTAAACGGACAATATTATTGCTATGATACTTTTACTGTTTTGAAACACAAATATTTGTGTTCAGTAATCTCAACTTCTTCGAAACACCTCGTATTGGAACTGTAATGTTTTCTAAGGCTTGCGTTTTCATTTTCACATTAAAATTCGCCAGATTGGTTACGTTGCCTTTGAGACCTTATGGTAGCCCAAGATTGAAAATTACCCCTATGATGGCATACCATTTGCAATAGTAGACAACCCAAGGTATTGCAAACGGGGTATGTCCAGTCTTTTTTAGTAGCCACTTAGTCACAAACACTGGCCAAAATTGGCGGTTTTTGCATTTTCACACAAACAAATACTAACGCTAACTTTGGCCAGTGTTTGTGACCAAATGGCTACTAAAAAAGACTGGACATACCCCATTTGCAATACCTTGGGTTGTCTACTATTGCAAATGGTATGCCATTATGGGTGTAATTTCATTCCCGGGCTACTATACAGTCTCAAAGGCAACGTAACCAATCTGGCGAATTTCAATTTCAAATGTAACGTGCTATATTTGACCCTGTAACTTCCCAAAACGCCATAAAACCGTACATAGGGGGTACTGTCTTACACGTGAGACTTTACTGAATACAAATATGTGTATTTTTATTGCAGTAAAAGCAAACAGTATTATGACATTGACCGTTAAAATGTCATGTAGAACTAAAAAAATCCAAAAAAATCGTATTTTCTCCCATTTTTTTCATATTAAATTATGTTTCATAGCTAAATATTTGATATTAAATGAAAGCCCTGTTTCCCCTGAATAAAATGATATATAATAAGGGTGGGTGCATTTACCATGAAAGAGGTGTATTAATGTTGATTGTGACATGTAGCGAAATGCTGTGGTTTTGTTTACATTTTGCCTTTGTTCACAACGCGGTACATTTGGTCTGGCCCTAAGGGGTTAAACAAAAATAAAATACGAACCACTCCAAGTAACTCCTAGTTTTCTAACTCCTACGTCAGAGGAGTTATTCGCACATCCGTTTGAAGAAATGAGTGATGCGCAACCATTATTGCCAGAGGATGTAGATAACAGGGATATGTCTCAGGCAGGCAGCATTACACGCATGGACGTACGGTGTGATGATGATGATGATGTTGTACCCGCTGCTGCTTCCTTTGCTGAGTTGTCAGATACAAGTGAAGCGGTTGATGATGGCGATGCGTCCATGGATGTCACGTGGGTGCCCGCTCGTCAAGAAGAAGAACAGGGCGAAAGTTCAGATGGGGGAGAGGAGGAGGAGACGAAGCTGGAAGCAGGGGAGGTCGCCCACAAGGAGCTAGTGGCACAGTCAGACAGCATGCATCGCACCCGGGTCAGCCCCGACAGCACGCCAATTCCAACGCGATGCTGTGTCCACCACCAGAATGCCGCCATTGCAGAGCCTAGCAGGTGGTGCATTTTTGTGTGTGTCTGCCTCCCCTGACAACAACAGCGCTTTACTGGTAACCCAGCCAGTTGCAAAAGAAACTGAAAGTGGTGGGGAAGTCCAACACCCACCTAGGTACAACTGTTTCTGTATAGGCATTACGATCTCACATCACAAACGCCTATGGGATCAACACATGAGTACAAGCAGCTCGCCTACTCTAAGCCGCCAGCCTCCTCCTGGTCCAGCATCTTCAGCCACGTCAACCACCGCTGTCCTCCTTGTCCCCTCTCAACCATCCGCCACTCCGCCTCCCGCCTTGAGCAGTTCACGCTCATCTTCCCACAGTCATGTGTCTGTCAAGGACATGTTTGAGCGTAAGAAGACAATGTCAGAAAGTCACCCCCTTGCCCAGCGTCTGACTGCTGGCTTGTCCGAACTATTAGCCCGCCAGCTTTACCATACAAGTTTATGAGTCTTTGAGGTAATTCCAAAAATTTAGAAGCATTGGGACACCGTGAGTGGAAGGTACCCGCCAAATTTCTTTTCATTAAAGGCAATCCCCAACCTGTACCTCACTGTGCAAAGGAAGTAAATGGCATGTCTGGTAATACAGTGTTGGGGCAAGGGTCCGCCTGACCACTGATACCGGCCCAAAAGCAGTGTGTACTTTATAAATGGCCCCACCTGCCACCCGTACAGCAACACAGTCTCCAGTTAGGAGGACCGACCAAGCATCTTCTTCCATCTCCTTGTTCCAAAAATCGCTGCCATATACACGTCCACTGATAGGAGACGCAACAGGTATTAAACTGATAAGAATAGTACTAAACACACCACTCCTATCTGGTGGCACAATAGATTGCACGCGCAGTGCCCCTATGTAGGGGGGAACAGTCTCTATTCCGCTCTTTGTCAGTGTGTATCAGGGGCTTTGAGGACGGGGAACAGTCTCTATTCTGCTCTTGCATTTCTATTTCTTCTTAGATAACAAAAAAATTCTGAGACGACGTTGGCAGGGCTATTCACTTGTGTGATCTGTCATGAATTGTCATTTGAATGTTAATTTGAACTGTGTTGTCTGCAAGCGTCAGAAAGTCACCCCCTTGCCCGGATGTTTTGTTCCTCAGATATATACTATACATTGTCGATGCTAACGATGTGGCTCCTGAGCCGCTAAGGAGCGTTCTGTGTGTGTCCCATGTGTGCAGCATCAGTTTAGTGGTCTCTAGCATGTGTGGTGTTGTCGGCCTCAGGTGTTTTGGCACCCAAAATAAGTGGTGCATGCCCAGTGGGATTCAATATCAACCCATTGCGGTGGGTTTTCTGCCCTGTGTGCCGTGGCCAGCGTGGCTAAAATGGCAGCCTTGTAGTACAGTTTCCCCTCCCCGTTAGTCTTTTGATTGTGGAGTGTGCCACCCTGGGTGTTTTATTCGCCCATGTGAATCTCGTGATGTTTTTTTGTAGTTTGACCATATATTGCCTGGGGATGGGGATGGGGATGGGGATCTGCAGCGTGCGGAATAAATATTGTAGTTTTGGCAACAGTGACATTTTAAATGCCGCTATGCGGCCATGCCATGAGTGGAAGTCACTGTTCCATTGGTCTAACGTCTGAGTAATTTCCTGCAAGAGTTTCTCGTAATTGTATTTAAACATTTGGCAATTCGTCTTGGCTAGCTTGATCCCTAGAAATGTGATATAATCTTCCCTCCAGTCAAAGTTAAAGGATTCCGTCAGTGTTTGTAGGGTACGTCCTGGTAGGTGAATTCCCATCGCCTGTGTTTTTGTGAGATTAAGTTTGTAGTAGGATACTTTGTTATAGTCTTGTATGCACTGTAGTAGGTTCGGTAGGGATATTAGAGGTTGCGTCAGGGTCAAGAGTATGTCGTCCGCGAAGAGGTTGAGAGTGTACTCACTGTCCCCCACTTGGACGCCGTGGATATCAGGGTGAGCTCTGATCACTGCAGCCAGAGGCTCCAGTGCCAGTAAGTATAGCAGGGGGGACAGGGGGCACCCCTGTCTCGTTCCATTGGTGATGACTATCTTTTTTTGACACAAAACCTGAATTAAGGACCTGACTTCTGGGTGCCGAATAGAGTGCTCTGACTACAGAAATCCCCATCCCAGCCGGTCGAAGGCTTTTTCTGCGTCCAATGAGAGCAGAACCCCCCCTTCCCGTGTCACCCCTAGGCTTTGCATGAGGTCAAGGACTTTTCTGGTGTTGTCTGCCCCCTGGCGCCCCGTCACGAATCCCACCTGATCATCATGTATAATGTGTGGTAGTATCGGACCCAGTCGAATAGCTTACAGTTTAGCCAGTATTTTGGTGTCAGTGTTGAGGAGGGATATGGGTCTAAAGTTTTGAGGGTAGGTTGGAGGTTTGCCCGGCTTGGGCAGAGTGATAATGTGGGCTAGCTGCATCTCCCCCGGTAGGGTTTGTGATCGTGCGGCTTCA